CCCCAAAACCCCAAAAACCAAAACCCCAAAACCCCTTCATGATAAAATAGAATGAATTTAGAATAAAACCTTCAAATAATCACATTAACTTAATCAAATATTCTCTAAAATTGCAAGTTTGGCATCAATAGCTTGTAAATACATCATATTCACTGATTCATCATCATTTAAGTAAGTATCTCCTCTTTGATTTTTTTACACACTTATAAGTTTTTCCTTTCTTTTAACCTACTCCTCGAATAATTGCATTCTAGACAGAACATCATTAAAAGTATCGCGATTCTTGATTGACTTGACAAGAGCAGTTTTGATCTTTTGAAATTTGCGATCGCTTTCGAATGCAAAGTTATTACTTGTGTTTGCAGTCATAGTTCTCTCTGATTCTTTGGCCTCTCGCTCTCTTCTCAAATGAGAAAGATAATCTATTGATTTATTAAGATTGCCATCCTCTTAAACTCTGCTTGATTACCCAACTATGTTTAGGTTTCTTCTGAGATGCAGACTTTTTTGTTAAGTTTTCATTGGAGTATTTAGGATTGATGAATCAACTCTTTTATTTTTAAGGGGAGTTTAGAGATCGAAGTTATCTTTACTATAATGGTTTGGAGATTTATCTTCATTTGAAATACTTTTTCTAGATTCTTTAGATCTTCTTATATCTTTAAGTTCCCTTAAATAGTTCTTATAGGGTTTAGGACTTTCATTTTATTCCATTTTGATTTCAGTGATATTCAGCCTGCCTCTACAATACCTCTGCTTATTCCTCACTATTTCTAAGCTAAGATCCTAGCTGACCTTTGGCTTATAAATTTCTTTAACCATCTTATCATATATTATTCTTTGATTTAGTACATCTTATCTTCTCTTTACCAATTTTTCTTGCTCTTATTTAAATCTTAACTATTCCTCTAAAAGCTAATCATGGAATTTAGTTTTGTATAATTAGTTTGTAGCACTTCTGCTCTCACTTAATGAGTTTTTAATACCTTTCATATCAAGAGATTCCTCCTACTCAAGTCTTTGCTATTTTTTCTTTTCAGATGCATCATGAAGTCTTTTCACATATTCATCATTGTGTTTTTTGAGATCTTTAATCGACAGAGAAACATCTCTAATCATCTTTCTTCTATCCTCAAGTATTTTATCATATTATTACTGTTGAGATAAAATTAAGGTATTTCTATATCTGTTTTCTATTTTCTTATAGAGATAAGTATCTTCAGGAGTTTTTTACAATGGTGACTTACTTTTGCTCTCCATTCTAAATTTTTACCTTTGAAGTTCTCTTAGCTGCCTCTCCTTTTGCTTCTCAATTATTGCCTTCATCTTCAATTAAAGTTTTACTTCCTTATTTTATTATTCTACAGCTTCGTTTTCTTCCTTCATCTTCTTCATACTCTCTATTTCTTTTACTCTTATATCTTCTAGTTTCCTTATTCTCTTCTCTCTCTAAATCCTTAAATTTTTCACTTATTCCAAGCCTTCTTGCTGTTTTTCTTTCAAATCAGTAGTTGAATAGGCCTAAATAATCTTAACCTGCCTAGATTTTTCATGATTTACTTCCAAAATCTATTTCATAAGCTAATTTTGATGCTGAAGATCCATTGAATCAATCTAAATTATATTATGAAGAAAATCATTACAAGTTTAATCTTTGTTTACAGGTTGTTTTAATTAAGCATCTTTACGAGTTGATTCCTGATGTCTCTTTATTCTACTTACTCTTTAAGTTATTGGATCTTTTCCTTGTCTAATTTAGTTTCATCATTCATTCTTATTTATCCTTTCACTATTTAGCTAACAACTTGATTATCAATTTCAGTCAGAAGCTATTACCCTATCTTATTTTTAGTTATTAAAGTGTAATCCTGCTTACCTCGATGAAAACTCCTTATTCCAAGTCATTTTATGCTACTTAGATTGCTGTATTTTTAAGATACTCTAATGCTTTCAATTTAAATGAGTTTATTTGCATATCTTTCTATTATTTTATTGCTGAATTTTATATCTTATCATTTTCTTGCCAAATTCTTAAAGTTTTATCCTTGATGTCATTTATTTTGTGAAAATTGCTTTAATTTATCATTAAATTATATTTATGAGTTTCCCAATTCTACTACTATCAGCATTTGATGGGGTTTTGGGGTTTTGGGG